TTATGAGTGACTTGAAGTTTATCCTATATCTCTTTGGTGGTTATACAAGATGAAACTTTTTCTTATATATCCAGTCCAAGAGCACAAAAAAATAATATGGATAGCTTTTGAGTTGATCTGGAACATTCTTGTCTTTGTTTTACTCCACAATATTGAATGAGTGGAAGGAATGAAGTATCCGTCTTCTATGATATTTTATGCTCCCATGTCACTTGCTTGAATGAAGTACCTCATTCTATTCTTCCAATAAGCATAATTAGCTCCATTGAAGAAATGAGGCTTGTTGATGGACATAGAATCAAGACCGAAGTCAGAGTTTGAAGTGAAGGCCATTGATGATTTGAATATCGATATAACTCTTCCCGAATCGACTCAAGAGACGATTAAACCTTCAAATGAGTGAGGCTCTGATACCAATTGTTGAGTTAACCAATCGACGAAATAGCCAAGAGGGGGTGAATTGACAATAAAAATTTTGGTGAAAGCTTTTGCAGAAAATAGAAAATAGTTGCACAACGATTTAGAGTGGTTCAACTTTCTCAACCAAAGTCTACGTTTACTACCTTAGCTATCCACACTAAGGTTTTCCAACAAATTCACTAATTTGTTCTTTCTTTTGAGGACAATGAGTAACCTTACAACTTTCTCAAGAATTATACCCTAAATTCTTGAGAACGCTCTCTCCCAAAGAGAAATACACACATTTGCAAACTTACAGAAAAACCTCACAAGGCAATATGTTTGCACAATTATAGAAGAAAGAAATAACACTCAAGAATGAATACAATTGAGTACAAATGGTGTTCTTGAAAGAAAAAATGAAAATTGAATAAAAATTGGCTTGAATTGCTCAAACTTGATATTTAAAGCTTTCTCTTTGTTTCTCTCACAATTGTTGTTGATCAATGGCTCCTAAGTTTGTTTAAATACATATTGAATCACTTCTGAATGTTGGGGATCATTGGTGAAGTCAATAGAGTCGTTATTGTGTGAAAACAATTAAATAAAACAGTTGGGAGCTTGTGTGCATCGATGCATAGCCAAGGTGCATCGGTACACTATGTGTAAAATTTAAATATTTTGACCGTTATAAGATTTAGTGCATCGGTACACTAGGGGTGCATCGGTACACTAATTACATTTGATATTTCAAAGAGCCAGGAGTGCATTGATGCATGGTCTGTGCATTGGTACACAAAATGCATTCAAAATGGGTGTGCATCGGTACACCCCTTTGGAAAATTAATTTTTGGCTCGATTTTGGTTCGAAATACTTTGAAAATTTGTTTCAAAAATATTTTAAGTTTAAAACACAATTTTAAACTTTAGTAAGGATTAAAACTGATCTTTGAAAAACTTGGAGTAATATTTTGATATTTGAATAATTGAATCGAATATACTTTAAAAATGATTGTGAAATCTTAAAATTCAATAACCCTTATTTTGTTATATTAAAACATCAAAATGTTTTCAACACTTACAGATTTAACTATTCAAATCTGAATATTTTCGAAAGAATAATATTTTCCTTTATTACTGAGATGAGTTTAGCTTAAAAACTATTTTTCTACATGAAATTGAAACATATTGTAGATATATATAGTTGTCGACACTGTTTTTTGTCCGGACGAGGAGAAACTTGTTTTGACTTGGGGGTTTTTCTTTGAAATTTTTTTGAAATGCGAGGAGTCGCCTCCAATCATTTAAGGTGTGATTGGGACACCATAAAAATCTGATGGTTTTAATAAAACATTTTTTTAATCAAAATACCAAGTTTTAGAGTCTGTGAAAATCCACAAATCCAGTTTGGGAGTCGGTTAAACTTGGGGAAGGATTAGCACCCCCACAAGCGCCCAAATATTGGTACCTAGTTGATTACCCTATATTTAGAATAAAAAATTTTGAGTTCAAACTTCATTTAATTTTAAAAATCATTATGGATGCAAAGTTGTAAAGAGTATATGTTTATTAAGGCCGATAGCATTTGCCCCCTGACAGGAATGCGGGAGATCAACTATTGTGCCCAATAACCGAATATTGTCTCGATATTTTAGAAATCATAATGCGGTTTTGAAAAGGATGTCAACCTATTTCGGGAATCACTAGTAGTCACCCCTGAGCATACTTGCGGGAGATATACTATTAATTCTCTAATAAGTGAACATTTCCTTAGGTTTAAAAATAAAATGCAATCAAACAAATTTTTATTCATCCTAATTAAGCTAAGGGTAAATTATGGCTCTCTCTATCCTAAAGTGTCAAATTATGAGAATTAAAGAACTTAAAGGCACAAACCTAGGAATATAGGTTCTAATATTAACCCTGTTTGATTTTTAATCAATTATTGAATCGACTAATCGAGATGGCCCCTTGAGCATTTAGGCAAGGGTCGACTCGAATTATTCCCTAAATTAAGAGGACTATATTGAAATCTAGCTAAAAGCGGATGCTCTATTTAACCTATTTGATTATGTTAATTTAAAAGTCTAATTGAAGTTCAGAGGACTAAAGGGTAAAAGATCTAAAATCCAAAGTTCTAAGAGACTAAAAGTTTGAGGACCTAAATCAGTAGCTCCTAAAGTTTAAGGACTAAATAACAAACCAAAATTCTAAATAATATCTAAATGAACCTATTCAAAATTACAAGATTGAATTAAAAGAGTTTCAGAAAATTAGTCGATGATTAAGAAATTAAAATTTTGAACAAACGACTCAAATAATCGGGCATCTTATGTGAAATGTCGATTCGAATTGATCCCTAATTAAAACTAAGATGACACCCTAATTACTAGATTCGATTTGGTTTACCAACCTAATATAAGGACGCAATCTAAAACTAGTTAACTAAAAACTATGAAATACTAGCTATAATAATAAACACAATTAAATATATTAAAATAAACAAGCAAACATCAAAGAAATAAAAATATAAAAAATCAAGGATTAAATCGCATGAATATAAAATTACGAGGATTAAATAAAATAAATTAAACATGTAACAAGGGTTAAATTAAAACAAATTAAGATTTAATGACTAAATCTGAACAAAAATGAAAAAAATAGGTTCATGATTAAATGTAAAAACACGCGGAAGTTTAAAGGACCTAAAACCAATTATCTGTATTATTTAAGCATAAAATACCCTATTAAACTAAAATGGGAAAATTGCAAAATTTGTCCTGCCAAATCAAAATAAAATTTAAACAGACACTACATATAACCAAAATGTAAAAACACGCTAAACTTATAGGAACTAAATAATAAATAAGCCAATAAATACATAACATGCAAGGAAAAATGAAATAACGGTTTCAGTCCTCATAGATGACCATAATGCAAAAGCACGCTAAAGTTAAAGGGACTAAACAGTGAATATACCAAAAAGTATATAACATGCAAAGAAAATGGAAAATAATAGATTTGGTCCTTGCAGGTGACCAAAACATGAAAACGCGTTAAACCTAGGGGACCTAAGCGTGTTTTTACCATAAATTCTACCTATATATACATTTTTTCTTTTTTCTTTTTTTCATTTTACACCAAAAACACAAAAATAACAAAAATCCTCTCATTCTCTCCCTCGACCGGCCCATTTCTGGACGCCTCGTACCCCGCTCCGACCGCCACACGCGACGATCGAAACTCCTAAACTAACCTAAAAAGACCTAAAACCCCATATCTACTCCCCTAGGCCCCTATTTGAGGCTAAAAATACAAAAAAAAAAAACTCCTTAAAGACCTCGAGAAACCCCCTTTGACCTTTCAGTTACCCCAACTTCGACGACCTCCGACGAAGCCCCCTACGACTCACGTAAACTCGGATCTACCCTTTCTTTTTTTATATTTTTTTTACTGCGAAAAAACTTGGATGTGGTTGTTATTTCGAACTAAAATGTTTTCTCTATTTTTTTTCCGGTTAATTCGAAACTAAAGGCCTTTTTTGTTGTTTACTATTTTTTCAAAACTAAAAAAACTTTTTTGTTATTGCTCGAAAACTTAAAAAAGATTTTTCCTTTTTCTGTTGATATTCAAACTAAAAGGAAAAACAATTTATTACTACTCAAAATTTACAGAGAAGAGCAAATGATTACATGTTTGTTTTCTTGCTTTCTGTTTTCTGTAGGTAGCGTGGAGTGTTGGGTGGTGGCGTGGAGCGGCCTTCCTATGTTTGATGCAGGGATCGGCAACAACTGATAGGGTGATTGGGGGCGGCTATGCTAGGGTTAGGTTTAGGTTTAGGTTAGGGTAGGCTCCAGGTCGGGTTTGGCTTGGGCTCCGAGTCAGGTCGGGTTTGGCTTGGGTATTTTGGATATGGATTTTATTTTGTAAAGGGCCCGAGTTTTATTTTGTAAAGGGGCCCAATTTTTTTTTGGGCTTGTAATATATGTATAATATAATAATAAAAATATATAGATAGATTGAAAAATGGTGATTACAACAGTGATTTCTTCTTCATTATGGTGATAATTTTTTAGTTTTAATTTTTCTTTTATTTGAAATTTATAAATGATAAAATTGTAGAAAAATATTGCTTTCAATTACATCATTTTTAAATATATATATATATATATTATAAAATATAATAATTTAAAATGATTGTGATTAAAATTCAAAATTAGTAAATGAAAACTTTGATAGAAAAGAGAAGATTAATACTAAATCTTAATAAGAACAGAAGATCCAATGCATGGATGGGAATTTTGTTGAATAAAGAGAAGAAGGATAGGTAATGAGTCCAAACTCCAAAGCTCGACAGATTAAGAAAGGTGGAGCACCAAATTAGATGACTAAAAAAGGGGAGTTCGAAAAAGCAAAGCCTTACGTTTGCAGTGAGGGAACTCAACAGCACATGCAGTGGCTGCCACTGCATACAGTGAATCCCCATTACCTTATAAATTCCAGACTCTTCCCTTCCACTTCCTCACACTTCCTACACAATAACAAAAGAGAAATCTCCTCTTTTCTGGGTTTTCAATTTTTAGTCTTCCTGAACAGGAAAAAAAAGCCATAGGACAGACTATGGTGATACTGCATGGATTAAAGCCGGCGATGCTGATGGTGATGGCTCAAGTAATGTTTGCTGGGGTTAACGTGCTTTACAAATTGGCAGCCAACGATGGGATGAGCTTGAGGATCATCGTGGCTTACAGATTCATATTCGCCACTGCTGTTATGGTTCCTCTTGCTCTCATTCTTGAAAGGTTTTCTTCTCCCTTTTTTCCTCTATCTTCTTGCTTATGTCAGATACATGCATGGAACTTTACATGAATCAGATTCTGTTCTCATAGTTTATAAACATTGTTCCAAAGTTTTCAGAAGCTATAATCTTCAAGATTCATGTAGGAGAGTTTTTGTCATGGTTTGAAACAATTTTTTTTAAAATTTTTAATTGATATGTATATATATATATATATATATGATGATGACTATTAACCTTGTTTTCTGTAATGTTTGTTTAGGAAGAGGCCGAAGCTAACTTGGACTATTTTTCTTCAAGCATTTCTTTGTGCTTTACTTGGGTGAGTAGAATTCTTCTACGATGCTTTATTTAGTTCAATGGTGCATTTTGATTAGGTGAAATGGCATGATAATAGGTGTTAGGTTATTGGGTTGATGAGAAAGTAACATACGAATAATAATATTACTATTTCAGTATAATCATCGATATTTAACTTATTGATTTATTAATTCAGGTTAAATATTATATTTCATTGTTAGACTACTTGTTTACACTTTGCAGGGGTTCATTACCTCAGAATATGTATATAGAAGGCCTGACCTTAACATCTGCAACATTTGTTTGTGCCATGACTAATCTCACTCCAGCCATAACTTTCATTGTGGCCGTCACTATTGGGTATGTAAGCATGTATGTATGTATGCTTCTTTTGACTTATATTATCTAATAGTGTAGAGCTTTAATGGGTCCAATACCGCGTTTTATGACAGATTGGAAAAGCTGGCTTTTAAAACAATACCAGGGAAAGCAAAGGTGTTGGGAACTGCAATTGGAATAGGAGGAGCAATGCTACTCACATTTTACAAAGGACTCCAAATCAATATATCAACCCATATCGACCTTCTTCCTCATGGACACCATGGCTTTAACTCCTCAAATGCACGCCCTACACACCAGTTATTGGGCGCTCTCTTGGCCTTTGCCTGCTGCATCTGCTATGCTCTCTGGTTGAACATTCAGGTACTTCAAAAGCTTCACCTTTTCTTCATATACACAGCTACGACGCTTTGAATCCATTAATCGATCTCACTGATAAAAAGGGAGTGGTGTACTCCCTACTAATCGCCCCAAGTATTAAAGAAAACGCTACAAAGCTTTTCGTTTTCATCTGTTTCACAGGCTAAGATGAGCCAAAAATACCCGTGTTATTACTCGAGCACGGCGCTGACATGCGTGTTCGGATCTGTACAATCGGTCGTGTTTGCATTGTGCGTGGAAAAGGACATGAGCCAGTGGAAATTAGGGTGGAATATCAGGCTTCTCACGGTTGCTTTCTCGGTAGGCTGATTACTGTAATCGATAAACACGAATCTTCAAGCTAATTTATGGATGGATATAAAGATTAAAGATCAGTTTTTGATCTTGGTTTTCCGTTGTTGCAGGGCGTTTTAGGGTTCGGGTTGACGTTAGGGTTGATGTCTTGGTGCGTGCGTATGAGAGGTCCACTTTATACATCTGTTTTCAGCCCTTTGGTGCTCATCTTAGTGGCCATTGCAGGCTCATTATTTCTTGAAGAAATGCTCCACCTTGGAAGGTAAAAATAAATTACTCAGATTGTTAAAAAATTAACGTTAAACATTTTATTTTCCTTTCAATATTGATGTGACAACCCACCATTAAAAATAACGAATAACGGCGATGTTAGCGTAACATTTTTCTTTCAATATTGATATAACATTATATTAGGTGTATATCGACATTGTCGTTCATTTTTTATGTGTATAATTACAGCATCATTGGAGCAGTGCTAATTGTGATGGGACTTTATGTTGTGTTATGGGGAAAAAGCAAGGAGATGAAGAAGACGGGAGAGTTAGTGCCACCATCAATTCCTTCTTCAGAAAATAAAGCTGTAGAAATTGTTGTTGCTTCTTCTTCTTTAGACGACATTTCCATTATTAGCAACGATAACAGTGATTTCGTCACTAATGATTCGCCAGTGAAATAGAAAAAAAATAGAAGAGAAAAAATATCTCAGTTTATGTAAGAAGAAAAAGACATAAAATGTAGGTAGAGAAAGAGGGAAACTGCTCATTGTAAATTTTCTTTTTTTCCTTTTCCTCTATTATTTATATATTTAATATGCTATTAAAAATGATAAATTGGCGACTCTTAATTAAGTTGTCAACTAATATAATTACTATCCATCTTCAAATTTAAATTATATATTTATTAAATAATGAAAGATCTATAAACATTTTTAAGGTGGACACACATATATACTAATTACATTAAACTTTTATCGAGGATAAGCACAACCATTAAAATATGTAATTATATGAAGAAATTTCAAATTTTAAGGTAAAATATGTTCACCCGAACCCTTATTGAAACCGTCATTATCTATTAAATTTATGTTTTATTTAAATAAATATTATTTTAATTAAAATATTTAAGAATTTTTAAAATTCAAGAAGAAGATTCTAGTAAAAAACTTTAACCTTCTGTAATTATTTGTAGATCCGATTTTGATTTATTCTAATTATTAATTTATTTGAATATATATTAATCATAATTATACTTATGATTTTATCTTATAATACAAAAATAACAACTATTAATTTGATGCTTTACTTGTTCAAGCATTTCTTGGTACGTTATTTGGGTGCGCAGAAAGCTTTATTTAGTTAATGGTTCAACGGTGCATTTCGATTAGGAGAAATGGACTACTCAATACAAATAGAATAAAGAGATCACAAATATGATACATTATTCTCCTAACTGAAAAGGAAAAGGACAATTAATAATATTATATTGTTTGATTGAATAAAATGTTTTAATTAAGATATGGTCTCTAAAAGTTAATGGCCGTTAAATCTTTAACGGTTTACTGACGTGGCACGATGAATATATAAATTAAAATTACATCATTTCCACGTAGATTATACTTTGATTAAGTTTTGGTCACTTATGTTATTGTTTTATTAAATTTTGGTCACTTATGTCATTGTTTTATTAAGTTGTGGTCACTTAAGTTATCGTTTTATTAAGTTTTGGTCACTTGGACGTTAAATGTAGTTAGTTTGATGAAGTGACCTATTACTACAATGATCTATTTTAACCCCTAAATTTTAGGCAAAATACTAATTATAGGTCTTTTGTAAATTCAAATTAGTTTAGGGACAACATTTCAATTTACCCATTTTAAATATTTTTTCTCCCCAACCCCCAATATTGCTCATCTTCTTCCAGCTTCTTCTTCGGACATCTTTGCTCGATTTATCCTCTTATTTTTCTCTGAACCTGTTGCGTTATTATTTGTTACCGGAAGTTGAAAATCTTGCATTGTTCTTGAAATACAACATGAGTCCTTGAAAGAAGCCAAATTGAGCAATGGGGTAGAGATGTCTGAAGAAGAAGCAGGGAGAAGATGAATAAAAATGGGGTTCGGGAAAAAACTATTAAAAATAGATAAATTGAAATATTATCCCTAAACTAATTTGAATTTACACAAAGACTCATAATCAATATTTTGTCTAAAGTGTAGGGATTAAAATAAAAATTTAATCATTTTACTAACGAGCCACGTCATTAAACTAATAACATTCAACGTTCAATTGACCAAAACTTAATAAAACGATAACATAAGTGACCAAAACTTATGTTTTTTAAATTTAGTGAGAAAAAAGTGTACATGTATGAGAGGAAAGTGACCAAAACTTAATCCACGTACTATCTATATAGAAATGATGTAATTTTAATTTTATATATTTACCATGTCACGTCAGCAAACACATGTTTAGCGGTCGTTAATTTTTAGTGACCACGTCTTAATTAAAACAAAACGAAAGTGACCAAATATTATGTTTTTTAAATTCAATGAGAAAAAAATTATAAAGCTAGGACGAAAGTGACTAATTATGTAGTTTACCTTAATTTTATTATTTATGTATAATATAGTATTTATTTATTTTAGTATAATTTATTTTTTTAATGGTAAAATTAGGTATTAATTTTTTAATAGTATAATTAGGCACATATCTTTTTAATGGTCCAATTAGTATCTATTTTTTTAAATGATGTAATTAGATACCTAATTTTTCTATTTAAAAATATATGAATTCGTTCATAAATGTTTAACGTTTAACTTTTAAATATGTAATACATATTGTTCCTTAATTAAATGGATTTAAAACCATAAGTATAAATCAATGAAAACTGAATAAGTGTAATTAAGAAAAATATTAGATACATTATTACACAGGAAAAATTAAATATATATTTATACTAAAAATAGACTATTTATATTAAAAAAATACTACAATTACATTATTCAGAAAAAATTTTCAACTAATTATGTTAAATAAGTTGAATATGACATTATATATATATATATATATATATATATTAAAATTATATATGTTAAACTAGTAGTGTAGTTGATTGTTGCTTCGTTATCCAATGCTATAGTTAAAACGTTGACGTGTCCGATACCCAGTTTTGGTAATTCTGTCGTATGTTAATTTAAGATTAAAGAACAATAAAAATAAATAAATATAATTGCAAATACTATAAATAAATATGATATTTTTAGTTGAGCCAAATTTAAAATGTCAATTTAAAAAAAAAATTCTGATATTTTTCAGTCCAACCGAAAATATTACGAAGAAATATATAAAAGTTAATATTTTCAGTTCAACCTAAAGTATTAGAAAAAAGTTAATATTTTAAGTTATATATTTTATAACATTTTCGGTTGCACATGTTTCCTATTATTTCTTAACCTTCAATTATGTTATCGTTCCTTAAATTTTTTTTATTATTATATTGAACAGGTCTTGTTTCTCATGGACAACATATATTAGCAAAGATTAACTAATATGAATGAAGGTAACTATTTTCTGAAAATTTAAAATTATCATATATTTTAAATTGTTTATGTAATTTTATTAGAAATTTGTTTTCACCCATTTATAATTTTATAAATTTATCTCTTATAAAATTTTAGAAATTCATCACTCAACATAAGATTTTATATTCGTCCTTGTATATCAATCACATATTCAAAAATATTTTTATTAATATAAAATAAAAAATAAAAACAAAAAAGGATCATTATAAAAAATAAAAACAAAAAAGGATCATTATAAAAAAGAATTCATTAATATAAGGGTAATTATGTCCAAAGTAGTGAAAATCATTCATTACCTAATAATCTGTCCAGTTTTACCTTCACCAAATACCAAATCTATACTTTGTAGAAGAACAAGCTGACAATCTTAGTTTGTCTGGCTCCTATTCACTGCAATGTTCTTGTGAATTTTACACCCACAATATGCATAGATTTGTAGTTCACATGCCTACCCCCCACCGAACTACAGAGAAAACGGTACTTTACACGTGATAATCTTTTTCATTTACTCAAACATTTACACTATCTATCTAAGCAAATATCCAAAAGTATATCATAAGTTAAAAGGACCAGGCCTCCATCTTCAACTGCAATGCAAAAGGAGGTCCCTAATGTTCCCAAAAGTTTGAAGAAAGTTCCTACTTCCCTATTTCATCTTTGCTTTTCCTTCTCATATATATGACTCCAACTTGTAATAGCAGTTCATTTTATCTATGATTTGAAAATGTCGAGGCACAAAAAAAGAAAAATAAAATGATCCATCACTGCCATATTTACCATTGCATAGAATGAACTCGCCGAAGAACTCGAGGTGGTCTTCGTTTCTCCTCAACAGGGATCAGGTTCTCCATCAGCTGTGTTCAGAATAAACCATGAGACCGCATAAGAACGGCTAGGAACAGCCTCAATTTCAAACAGCACACTTGAACCGATGATAATGTCTGCTTAAAAGATATAATGTGATGTTTTTTTTCACTTTTTTTTCCTGGAACAATGACAATAATTTGTCTGCTCCAACATTTTATCACATGATTTCGCAGAATATGAACCTTCAGCTGAAGATATCTAATACGTTTAAAGCGCCACATAGTAATAGAATTAAAAGGTCAGACAAATCGGAATACCTGTTTAAACCTCCTCTTGTTCAATTCGGCCTGCAAAAATGAGTCGATAGATCAACATGAAAGCATCCCCCTAATGCATAATGATGATCGATGCATTTTTTCAACGTAAATGTTATATAGTAACTACTTGATATAAAGTAAAGGAGGAGAAAATCTCAAATGTTTTCAACTCATGTAGTAATTGATATTGTCGACAAGGATGGACCGAAGGGGTAACTAGCGGGATGATCGTCCCCTCCCTAAAAATTTCAAACTCTTATATAATTAAATATTCTTTTATATTTTCTATTAATAATCTATTTTTATCCCTAGCATAAAATCGCGTGTATGTCTCTGATTCTAGGCTCGATACTTCGTTTTAATAACTATACATATATATGCTCGGTTTTTTAAGTTCACATATATTGCCATGATCATATTATTATATACACATATCGGAAAATAATTCGGAAAAGGGAAACAGAATTGAGAATTTCAAAGAAAATGAGAACTCTGGGCACCAAAACTACATGGTATTCATGAATCAAAGTTCGACTAAACTATTTTAGAATTACTTCCATCATCTTGAACACCCTGGTTGCAACAACTTACTAGCATAATTTAAAACACATTTGAACTTTAATCAAACAGTTAAACCTTAGCAGCAATTGGTAATTCTTCAACACAAGAGTTTGAAATCATATATAGTTATATACAGCTGCCTACATACCTCTTCTCTCAGCAACTGGGCTTTCTCTTCTTCCAATTGCGTCACCAGAGTTTCCAATTCAACCGTATAAGCCTAAGCATCAACAAGGAAAGCAACAACAGAGGGGGTTGGAATAACTATCAACATCCCGTTTAATTGCAGGATACGGGTTTTAAAGTTGGAAGAAAAGCAATTAAAATCCGACTGAGATAAAAGCAAGTATTGTTTCTCTCCATTTTCTCGGCAACCGAACAGAGTTGACAAAGAAGAGTCTGACCTGTTTGCGTTCCCTGGACCTAGCAGCAGATTCTCTGTTTTTGATCATCCTCTTCTGTTTCAGCTGCGTCGCTTTATCCAAAGGCGGAGCCTCCACGGCGCGTCGCTTTCCTCTAACGCCTCCACCAGCTATCGCCACCAACGTCTGATGATCTACGCCGCCGTTGTTTCCAAAAGCCGAAAACCGATTCAGACCACCGTTGATAACGGCCTGGTCCACAGCATAAACCCCTGCACCAACTCCCACTTGATCAAAAACTCCCCTCACGTCCTCTTCTCTAACCGCCCCAGCTTTCGCCAAAAAATCCTCCAAAGTCATCCCTTCGGGTGGACGATCCCCCCGTCTCTGATCACGGCCACCGACCACCGTCCGCTTCCAAACATCATCGACGGACTTATTCGTCACATCCCTCGGAAGTGAGAAATCACTTCCGCCTGATAGAGAAACGCCGGCGAACTGCGGGTGCGCGTCGGGATTAGACGGCAGTGGAGAGGAGCAGATGTTTTTCAACAAATCGTCCATGTTCATGGAACCGAGGCCGTTCTGAGATTGGTTTGGATTGTTTTGTTGGCTCTGAAGATCGGCGAAGAGAGTGGAGAGCGAAGAGCATAGAGACGACTGACGTGGCAGATCGGTAGTCTGTGACGTCGTCGGTATGACCTTAGAGGACGCCATGACACCCACTAGATTATCCGATTCCTTTGCTCACGGTGAATCTATTTTCTTTTTCTCCAAATTGAATTGAGAATTGAAAGAAATACATTACCGGAAGAGCACGACAGTTTAAATAGAGTAAGGAGGAAGGGAGGAGGTGGACAGCGCGACTTCATTGACAAATTGTAGAATGTAGGGTTAGATATGTCTTTCTCTCTCTTTTGCCGCTATAAGGTTAACTTTTGAGTTTTTTTATTTAAAAAGTCTCTTTTTAATGAAAACATTAAATATATATTATTTGGGTAAACTACGTATTTAATATCTAAACTTTTAATTATTTCAAAATCATAATTAATATTTAATTTTTATTTCATTTTAGTACTAATTATTAAATATCTAACGCGTTTAGTACATAAACTATCAATTTTGATCCGTTTTAGTACCTAAACTTTCTAAAAAAACAAACTTAATGTTAAATTTTAAAAAGATGTACTAAAATAAAATGAAAAGTAAACTTTAAGTATAATTTAAAAAATTGAAAGTTTAGGTACTAAAACAGACTAAAATTGATGGTTTAGATACTAAACACATAATTTATCCTATATTTTTGTTTTTATAATATTTTCTCTTTCATGATTGAGTTTAATTTCAACTCTCTAGATTTGATTGAAATTATAACAAAATTAATTATCAATATGTTGTTTTTATTATATTTATTTATTTTATATCATTGTTTATGATATTTGTCTTGTATTATCGATAATAATATTTTTTAAGTTATTTGATTTATTTTAAATATAATATTGTTTTTAATAATTTATAATTATTTTATATTACTTTTAATGATGTAAGTCCTGTTCTATCCACAATGATTTTATCCTATTTATATCACTGGATAAATGAGAGATGCAAGATTTGTCCAAAAGTCAAAAAGGAGAGAAAGAAACAGCTTTTTCATCTTTGCCGCATACCTATCCATTACGTCGTGTAGTTCTCTCGTACGGTAGTTTAATTTAAATTAAAAATATTATAAAAATATTATATTAAGGGAAACTTAAAATACTATTTTTTTCTAACATCTTTTATTCAACCGTAAATATTATAAAAATATAATATTTTCAGATCAACTAAAAAATATTAAAAATTTAATTTTTTATTACATTCAATAAAAAAATATTATATTTTTACAACATTTTTTTGCCTTTCAACCTTTTAAATTACTTCCGGCCTTAACAGCATGCTTAGGGATAGGTATGGATCGGGTTAGTCGGATTTTTGGTCTATTCGATCTGAGAATAAGGACTCTTCTACCCGAAATTCGACCCGACCCGCATAATATATACCCTCCGCCCAACCCAACTATAATTGACTTTTTGAAATAAAATCCGAACTTGATCCGATCCGAAATAATAAAAATATTATTTTTATTCAATAAAAATAGTGACTTAATTAAAAATAATAATATATAGAGGGATATTATTGTAATTATTTTTAAATATATAAGGTAAAATTATTTTTTTTCTGGTTGGATCTGATATTTTTCACCCTAAACCCAAATACGACTCGAACCAAACACCACCTTTAAAAAACCCGATCCAACTTGAACCCAATTTTTTTAAAAAAAATTAATATAATCTGATCGAATCAAAACTCATCTAATTCGGGTCCATATTCGTCTCTAATCGTGCCCGCTTCATTCTTCGCTTGTGAGTCCTCTTTTTATCTTTATCTTCTTTTGTCTCGATATGCTAATTGCTAATTAAACGGAGGAGGAAAATAAGAAACACACGTCACGTAATTTTCTTGTAGTATTATTTTTGGTATATATATATATATATATTACAAAATTAGTTGGCCAATTACCACCAATCCATCGGTTGATCCGTTTTTCTCCCTGAAATATCATTAAAAATATTTTTCAAATTAACATTTATTATAAGTTAATTTTTATATTTACATGTGACAGTATCAAAAACATGTATTTATAAAATTCAGTAAAAATATATAAATATCGTCTTTAATCGTTAAATAAGTGTATGTTTAAAAGGTTGCATGTAAACATTATAATAAATTTAATATTTGAATAATATGATATTTGAAATTTTCATTGTCGAATATGTTGATTTTGAGTTGTTAAAGACGGATCTTGAACTTTACTAGACTCGTATTAATACAATAGTAAAAAATAATTTTGGATAGTAGGATCATAGGTATTTCAAAAGACAATAACTGAAAGAGTTTTAAGACCTAGATCTAATCAAGTTCATGATGAAGGGCGGGTGCATATGACCCCATAAGAGGTTAGATGCATACCCATTATTTTAGATTAGTTAATAAATATATTAAAGGAAGGAGAAAAAAATAAAAATAAAAATTGCATACTCATTATGTTGAAAAAATAGTATTAAAATTTCTGAACTCAATTTATAAAATTTTAGATCCGTAATTGTTGATTATATATCTTTTTCAAAATCAACAACTTTAATCATAATGTTATTAAATTTTATATTGCTTGAATATGAGAATTTTCAAATGTTAAATATAATTTTTAAACATATATTCATTAAATAATTAAATAGAAAATTTATGCACATATGCTACAGTGTCGTCCTCGTCCAACCTCACTCATGCTTGTACGAGTTTTTGACACATGTTGGACAAAAACACAACCTACAAAAATTATTTTTAAAACATATATTTATTTTATGTAATATAAAATATAAATATTTTAAAGGTGTTAAGTTAAATTCATTGTTTTGAAAATCGGACCGGACCGGCCAGTTTAACCGGGAACCGTTGCCTAGTCCGGTTCAATCTACACCGATTGAATCGCTATTAGTGAACCGACCGGAACCGTTGAACCGTTCAAACCAAACCGACTGAAAACCAGAAAAACCACCAAATTTGTTTTTTTAAAAAAAAATTAAACCAAACGACGTCGTTTGTTAAACGAGCCAAGTCGAACTCGAGTATTTCTGAGCTCGACTCGAACTTGAAAACTTTAAAAGTAAGCTCAACTCGACTCAAACTCACGAGCTAAAAACTATCAAGTTCAACTCGAACTCGAAATATAATATTGAAACTTGAACTCGAAAAGGCTTGAACTCAAAAAAAAATTAAAAGCTCAATTGAAGCCTAAAATTCGAGCTTGATTGAAGTGAAAGAATAGTTCACTCAATGCTCACCAAAAGGCTCCATGATTTTGAATGTCAAATTACCTCTATTATTTATAGAAGTTAGTTAGGATGCTCTTCTATGTTTCTTAGCCATGTGAGATTGTTTTGTTTTCATATTTTTACTCTTTAGACTTTTGGGATGTTCTTCTATGTTTCTTAGCCATGTGGGATTGTTTTTTAAAAAAATTAAACCAAACAATATTATTTTATTTTGGTTTTTTAGCTCCAAATTTATTTTTTAATTATAGTTATAAAATTATATTTATTATTTAATATATTTTACCTTAATTATTATGTTGTAGTTAATTTGAATCATTTTGTTTCACTTAGATTTTATGGTTTTTAACTTATATATGTTATGACTTGCTTTGAATATGACTTGTGATATAAAAAATTATTTTTTATTAAATATTTTTGGTATTTTTATTTAATTTTTTAAATAATTATAACATCGTTCAGTTCTTCCGACCGGTCGGACCGATTCGACCGGTTGAACCAGTGAACCGGTAGCATGGCTGGTTCGCTAACCGGTCCAATTCTGAAAACCATGATTAAATTTAATTCGAATGAATGATATTTGGACAAAAGAAGCCTATATATATAAAAGTTTGACCTACAATAACAAACTTTGAAACGATAGATTAAATTTTTAACTTTAGAATATTAAAATGAAATAAGAATTAAATTTTAAATATAACTTTAAAATGTTGAAAATTTAAATATTAAAATAAATTAAAATTAATAGTTTGAATATTAAACGTGTAATTTATGTCATTCCTTTGGCTAGAGTTACGTTGTGCCATGTCTTATTCTACATGTCATAAATACCATCACTTTACTATAATAATTGAAGGAAGCAACCTAATTAAATCTAGAGTGTCACTAGTTTAACTAATCCATACATTGAACACATAAAGAAACTTTTCCTTCAAATATATATATGAATATGATCACCGATCTGAGGATGGATTAACGACTCGTGACTGCCACAAAAATCTTGCTTTGGTCCATTTTTGCTTTTCCTAAAGTATATAGATCAATGGAACAGGAGAGTGGGTCCTGGATAAGATATTGATGAGATATTTTTGTTGTTGTTATTGTTGACAGTATCATTCATGCTTTAATGTATTATAGTATTAGATTACGGGTAGTTCTGCGGTGCGACGTCTAAAAAACGGTTAATATACGGCGTGACCGGTTAAATAAGTGACCGGTTAAAATTTAGACCGGTTATGTTATATTATTTAACCGGAAATATTATCAAGTACAATAACATATTAGGTAACGCTTATATAATGTAATAGATAGCGCTTATATAATAAAATAGGTATTTAACGGGAAATATTATCAAGTACAATAACATATTAGGTAACGCTTATATAATGTAATAGATAGCGCTTATATAATAAAATAGGTATTTAATGAGAAATATTATCAAATACAATAACATATTAGGTAACGCTTATATAATGTAATAGGTAGCGCTTATATTGACCTATTTTATAAGTAAATCGGTATATTTATACCGGTAATATTGCAAATTTACCTATTACATTATAATTATCGGTTTCGATATTTCATAAAGTGTCGAAACTTTTTATAAAAGTATCGACACTTTATGCTTGCACCTCGTTGGGCATTAATGTTTCATTCTGGACAAAAATATCGACACAAACTAAAAAAGTGTCGATACATGATTTAGACCTATTCTCTCAAAAACCCGGTATAATTATACCGGTTTCATTGACCATTTACTTATTACATTATACTTATGGGTTTCGATGTTTTAGGGATCGATATTTTTTTAATAAATGTATCAACACTTTTTAAGGGTACACCTTTTTTGACATTCATTCTAGACCGTAAGTATCGACACTTTATGCTTGCACCTCGTTGGTTTTAATATTTCATTCTGGACAAAAATATC